TATAACAAGTAAAGCCAGTAACTTTTTAGTTATCATTACAGCCAACATAACTTTCAGTTACACTAACACAGAATTAATGGATGAAAAGGGTGGAAGAAAGAGTACCACTTGAGTGTCTTCCACCTTTTGGATGGATTGACACTGATACATCGGTGTCAATCAGCTATTGGTAAATTCAGATAAAGTCGAGATTTACTTACAACCAGGTCTTGCACTGCCAGCTAACTAACAAAGTTTATGTTAGCTGGCTAATATGTTATCAGTTCAGGATGAAAATGAAGAAGAGGTCATATGAAATCTGGTTGGCATTCACTGGATCTCACTGACAATGATGACTTTTTTTTCTTGGACAGATTATGTTGAGTCAGACAGGAAATGAGGTAATCCCGCAAGGTCAACTTTAGTGAGGGTGGGTTTGTGAATAGCATGTCCAACTCAATTGGAGCCTTTTTGTCAGACACAAAGAACCATGTAATACAACCTGAGTATCAATATTTCTTGCAGGGTCATAAAATTGTATGTAGTTAGGTCAAGTTAATGTTAATGATGTAGCCCAATATCAGAAATCACAAACTTTACAGCCTGCACACCAAGAGCTCCATGACATCCCTCTGCATTCTTATTTAAAAGTAAGATATATGGTTAGAAGTCCCTGTAAGAAATACTGTTTGTTTAACTAAAATACAAGTAAATAGTTACAGTAGCTTAATTAGAACCATAGACTGTAAAGATAATGGACAGCTACCATAGTGTCATCCATTACTTTGTGGACTCCCTGTTTTGACATTTCAAGTTTGGCACCTTGGCTGTCACCATCTTGGTTTTGGACCATATTTGGAAGAGGGGGTGAAGCTGTGGAAAAGCAAGGAGTGGATCTGACTAAGAGCTTGAGAAAACTAACTACAGGTCATGGTGACGCTGACTGTCTATTTTGGTAAGATGAAACCATTTCCCTCAGTGGAAACAAAGCTTTTATTTACTTTAACTTCACAGATGACAACCAATAAATTGTGAAGACAATAAAGCCTCCACAAAAGTAGTATTTAAAGTCTTAAATGTAATTTATTCTGGCTTCATATGAGTAGAAGAAATCTCTGCTAGTCGCTAGGTTAAATTATACAATGTAAAATGCCACAGGCTTGTGCCAGTAACGTTAGCATGTTATATTTGTTTGGAGAACATGTTTAGTATAAAACAGTTGTTTTGTCAGTGAACCTTTTGAGTTGTAATGGAGCTGAATTTTGTAATGTTACCTTTGTTTAATGTTGCTGTTGTCCATGGCCTCATGTGTGTAGAGGAAATCTCTGCTAGTCGCTAGGCTAATCTATACAATGTAAAATGCCACAGTAATGTTAGCATGTTATATTTGTTTGGAAAACATGTTTAATATAAAACAGTTGTTTTGTCAGTGAACCTTGTGAGTTGTAATGGAGCTGAATTTTGTAATGTTACCTTTGTTTAATGTTGCTGTTGTCCCTGGTTTCATATGAGTAGAAGAAATCTCTGCTGGCCACTAGGTTAATTTATACATTGTAAAATGCCATGGGCTTGTGCTAAAAACGTTAGCATGTCGTTTTTGTGGTGAAAATGTGTCCAGCAAAAGACAAGTGCTTTGTTTGTGAGTGCTGCGAGTTATAGTGAAGCAGATTTGTCACTTGTGTTTGAAATTGTCTCTATCAAGCTATGTGTGTGTTTTGGGTGTGTTTTGAATCAGCTAAACTTTACAGCACTTCACAGAAACCCCCCTACCGGTTGTTGTTCTGGAGGTGTAAGTGCAGAGTGACACAAACACACCACCACACAAGTATAAATGCTCACAATGGTGTAGGCCACGGACACTTAAGAAGAAAAGGACACTATCAGCAGACAGCTTGTTACTCAAAGCGGCCCACTCACTTTGTTTTTCAGCCCCAGAGATTGCCTCTTGATTTGAACCATTATACATTTTCACACATTATACATTTTCCAGTCAATCAAGACTTATTTTCTTGTATTGCACATTCTATTAAATCATTTAGTTTAGTTTTTCATTCACATTTTTAATTTTAATGCAATAATGTATTCCAGAGTTTTCACTTGCTGACTTAAAGGGGCAAAAAGCAAAATCGTTTCACCGCTAGGTTTGCTGTTGTGCACTGCCTGTAGACCAAAACAAAGTGTGTCATGAGCCACACCTCCCTCTGCTCTCTACCCCCCACCCCACTCGCCTCGTTACCTATCTGTGTAGCTGAGCACCGCAGCACCTCCACTGACTATTACATTCAGACGGTCCCGGTGTTTCTTCCGCAGGCTCCACTTCACTCAGCTGCCCGATATACCCGCTGCTTCTTCCCACATTAACCTGAATAACAAACCAGGGCTCGGTTCTCCGGTTGGATCCAAACAGAGAGCCAGGGCTAGCTGGGAAGCTAGCGGAGGCTAACTGGCTGTGCTTCCCTCCGTCATACTGCGCTAGCCGCTCACAGCTAGCGCTGGCTCTCCCTTTGGATTCCTGGGAAGCTAGCGGAGGCTAACTGGCTGTGCTTCCCTCCAGTCATGCTCCCAGCTAGCTCCGGTTTGTTATTCAGGTTAAAGTGTGAAGAAGCAGTGGATCTGTCGGGCAGCTGAGTGAAGTGGAGCCTGAGGAGGAAGCACCGGTTAGCCCCAGTTTCACTACAGGCAGATTCACTCGCTACAGGGGCGAGGAAATAAAACTTAAACAGCCAACTTATTTTGGCTTAGTTTAGCAGTTAGAGATGTCTTTCACTCACTCTCGGTCTCTGCTGTGTTTAGCTATTCCCCTGCCTACTTCAATGATGATGGTCCCTGTAATAAATGTAATATATTTGCTGAAATGGAGATGAGGCTCAGTGACTAGAAGAGCTGGTAGAAGCGCTCCATAACTGTAAGTCGCTCCAGTAGCCGATGGCGGCCGACTCGGCTCAAGCCATCGCCGGATCCCGGCTAGTGCCAATACCAGGAGCTAACGCTAACATTCCTCTTCTCCGTGAGTGAGAGGGATGTTTTAGCCTGGCTACATTTTACAATGCTAATTGCAAATGTTAGCTGGGCTGCCGGGCTGCTCACCTAACACTGATCCATTGTTGGGACCGAGCCACTAATAACTCAGGCTCCGGACATTAACCCATGCTACGATTGTAACATTAAATTTAATTGAATCAACATAGCAACATGTGCCTAACATTGTAACACTAATTAAAACAGACATTTGACTTTATACTTAACTGTGTTAAGTATAACTGCAGCCGACCGGCTTGTAAACAATGGGCTGGAGATCAACACAGAGAGAGGGTGTGTGACGTCATGCTATAGGCTACTCCAGATGAAATTACACCTCTAGTTCTTCACATAGCGATTTTTTAATTCCTTCTATCTAGAAATGATGAATTTCTGCTTATTGCCCCTTTAAGGGCATCCTTTAGGGCTAGTGTTTTTAGATGCTGATCGTGTAATTGGAACATCCCTGGTTCGAGCAGAAATCTTTGTTGCTTTTCATCTTCTATGTCTCTCTTCCCACTGTCAGCTCTATAAAGGCAAACATGCATAACGACAACATACTTAAATAAAATAGTAACTTTTTACTTGTTGTCTCCCATGATGGGATATATTCTGTATTTCTAACCTGACTTGGGGGAAAAAACTTGGGAGTATTCATAACATTTTGTTGTGATATTCTTCACATATAAAGATAGCAAATGCAAGTACATAATATTCTGATATCTGCAACTTCTGTCCAAACGACCAGTCCTGCAAAACTCACATCAGTCCAACACTTCTCCACATCTGTCTACCTCTGTCTGCTTTGCCAGCAATGGAGGAGAAGGGTAGTTTACAAAGCATGCAGCTCTCACATTGCTCAAACAGTCAGCTCTAATAGTTCCAACAGTATAGCAACAAATTATTTCAGCTCCAACTGCTTTGGCATACAGGAAAGGCAAATCATCTTCTTACATGGCAGATATAAATTTAACCTTGATTTCTGGTGGGAAAATGTAAATTACAGGGAAAATGTGTATCAGCTGTGAACAAATATCTTCCTCTGAATTGGTATCTGACTTACAGATCCCACCTGCAAATTGAATATCATAATAGTTTCTCTTCACAAATTGCTGGCAAATGTTCTGACGAATGAGTTTGTGCAATGTATGTATTTTCAGTGACACAGAAAAACACTCAGCAACTGTTCAGAACAAGTAGTATGAATACCAAAAAGCCATATTGAGAAATTAAGGCAAACCCTGCATTGCTTAACAGCTACATTTTGTTTTAATAGTTTCCAGACTGAGGTCAGAATCTGCGTTATTTGTTCACCAGCCTTTTGCCAGCTTTTCCCACCTTTTTACAAGGTCATCACCAAACAGACATTTGCATGAGATGTGTCTAAGTGTGGCCTTAACTGTGGCATCTATGAACGTTAAAAGAAAATCAGGTTGGTTTAATTACATAATTATACTTTTGATCCAGTTTTGAACAGAATATTTGCTTTGATTGTTCTTTTATTTCAAATGTACTCTAGATGAGAGGAGTCTGTGTTGACTTGCTGGAATGCAACACGTGTTTGCTCTATTGATTACTGCAAATGATTACCAAGAAGGAAAAAACAAATAAAAGCTTACTGGAATACTCTTTTTTTATTTGGTCACTGAATGATAAACATAGCAAAGGCTACACATAGACATGGAACCATTTAAATACTAATCACATTGCATTTAAAAAATCCCCTTTCAAAAAAAATTAAGAAGTAGAAGACTGCTATCTGTGTGATTGTTATTTTGCTCAATGGTTTCCATGACTCATTGAGCAAACTCTACAATATAAATCTCAGTCATGTGTGTACTGATATAAGTAAGACACCCTGGGTGTTTTTGAAGTTTTATCAAGTATCCAGTGTGTTATTTAACGGGCCATATATGTGGTCACTTCCTCATTTTTCTGTTCCCTGTGAGGCTGAGATTGTATTTGGAGGCTGGAACAGACTTGCGTAAATCATTGAGCAATCTCTTTTTGCCTGTGAAATCCGTGGCTCTCTCTCTCTCGCTCTGTATAATAGTGTTTCAATCTCCAGTTTCTACTCCTGTTTGGTGGTTCAGGGTAATGAAGATAAAATGCACGTAATAACCCAAAGCTGTGTCCTGTTTTTGTGGATGTATATGCTGACCTTCGTAAAAAGTCAAGGTAAGCCTGAGTAGTTCAAGTAATTTGCCCCGTCATTTTTATCTTAACAGTACATTCATGGCTTGGTATTTTGCTGCGAGGATAAAATGATTTGTATTTCTTTCCTTCTTTTTTTTTGCTGCCCCAGAATGTACCCTTGAGCAGTTTTTAAAGGGCCCCCTGTTTGATTCAAATTTCGACACAACTGATCTGGACGCCAGATACCCTGGTGGAAAACAAGTGAGAGTGAGCTGCAATGTTGGCTTCACTGGGTTTTTCAAACTGATCTGTGTCGAGGGAAAATGGCAGTCCAGAGGCACGGCATGTCAACGTGAGTAACAGTCTTTTACTGTTTGAATTTAAATATTAACTTTGCCATTTAAAGTGATAAACACTTGTTACATTATATGCAACATGTTATGCTGTATCAGTATATACTCTGTTAAATGGGCACAGCATTGTATTTGAGTGAGAACACAATGGCAAGGCAGGCTCAACTATGTATTATATTATAGTATAAAATAATATACAGAGTATTATTGAATGGAAGAACCACTTATGTCATCACTGCAATTTAGGCCTTAGTTAAGATTTTTTGAAGCAGGGTTGTATGAGGTACTTATCCATTGTCAGTGTATTAGCTACAGTACATGTCTGTCGACATACCCCAGTTTGGTGAAGCGGCAGGAGTGCCGAATTGGAAGCAAAGCAATGCACGGGGGCAGCAGCAAAATGTATTTTAGCCGCCTAAAAAACGTCCCACCAAATGAAATCTCTAACAGATTAATTGTACACCATACTGACAGTATTTTCGCCTTTTTACCTTACAGTCAGACATCCCGTTCCAACGGGATAACGGGTTCAGTTCCTCATGTAGGCTCCCTTTAAAGCCGCCAGACTCCATTGACAAAAACAATAATTTTTGCTCATTGAACACAGAAGCTGCTGGTCTACCAGGGCCCCGATCAGTTAGTAAGTTTGTGTTATTGTGTGTATTGTGTGTGTGACTGTGGTGAATTTGAACTCAACACCAAAGTCACACAATAACACAAACAAAACGGATCTAGGCAGAGGTAGACCAGCAGCTCCTGTGTTTAGCGATGTTAAATTACTATATTTCTGAATGGAGTCTGGCTTTTAAGAGAGCGATATAACAGCTTCATCTTCCCGTCGAAAATCACTGTCTGACAAAAAGGTAGAACAGTGAAAACACTCACAATATAGCACACACTTATGCTGATATTGATTGTTTCAGGTTGGACTTTTTGTAGGTGGCTAAAATATGTTTTATTGCTGACCCCATCCCACAGCAGTTGCTCGGTTTCTATGTCGGACCCCAGCCTGTTTCTCTGAACTGGGGGCGTGCTCACTTCCATGCGAGTAATACACTGACTATGGATACGTACCTCATACCGTCCCACTTCAAAAACTCCAAACTATCCCTTTAACAATATATTTACCCATGTTCTCTCTAATTCTTCTGTTTAAAGCAAAATCATGTGGTCATCCTGGCGATGCTCAGTTTGCAGATTTTCATCTGGAAAAGGGAGACGATTTTGTGTTTGGGTCACAAGTTGTATACACCTGTCATAAAGGGTATGAAAATATTTAGTATCACATATTTATACTGTTGTTTCTTATGTATCTTCATGCTTGGTGCACATTATACTGTATCCCTTTGGTACTTGGCTCCTAATAAGACAAATCCATTATCCATTTTCTACATAATACTTGTTTCAGTTATCAAATGGTCAGCCGCACAAACTATCGGCGTTGCATGGCTGAAGGCTGGGATGGTGTGGTTCCTGTCTGTGAAGGTAAGAGCTGTAATAAAGCATCTTAATTATCTGGTGTCTGACACACACAGGGAGAAATGTCACTTTTGTGTCATCCCTTGAAAATATTGAAAAATGTAATTGCCTTCCTGTTTATAGGTTGATGCATCTGAAAGTTTTTTGGTCATCCAACTAATTTTTTTATCATGTTTTCTCCCTCCAGCCCAACAGTGCCCAGTGATTCATGTGGACAATAATGTCCAGGTGAATGGGGACCCGGAAGAAGCAACCTATGGCAATGTAGTTCGATTCAGCTGCAAGTCCAACTCTGAAATTCTGTTGGGGTCACCAGAGATGTATTGTGATGAAAATGGAGAGTGGAGTGGCCAAATTCCAAAATGCCAAGGTACAGCAGGCTGTCCAAAATTAAAACGGGAATTACTACACGGTCTTACTTTGAAAAAAAAAGGAGGAAATAGAAGGAAAGGGGAAGATGTATAAAATGCCATAATAACCACTATCATTCACCCAACAACTAATGTGAAACAAACCAAACAACAACCACTAACCATGTGATGCAAAATCCACCACCATGTAACATCACATCAACCCCATAAAAATATAATTACCTCCAGTCCCAATGAAGTTTGAAGCTAAGCTGTCATTCATGGTTATTACCACCAAGGGCTCTAGTTTCGCAGACCGGGCGAGGCAGGGGCGCAGCGCACCTGCGCTTCGCCAACTGGGTGTGGCCAGGCGGATTTTGCAAGTTTGGCACACCATGTGCCTGGCACAGCTACTCCTCTTTCCCACCTCCATCCCTCCTACCTGCGCAAGTCAGAAAGAGGGAGGAGAGAAGGCGTGGAGTGGGTTTTACACACATCACACCAGTCAAATGAGCCCCTCTCCTCGCTCTTAAATGTGCCGCGCGAAGGCGTAATGAGAGTTTACTCAATTCGCCATGGCAGAAGAGAGCAGCAGCGTCAGACGGCCAAACTTCTCCCAGGAGGAAACTGATGTGTTGGTCCGGGAGGTCCAAGCTGGCAGTGTCCGAATATACGGAACTGCGAGCAGACCTCCACGGGCTGATGATGCAAAGGTAGCCTGGGAGGAGGTCACCACAATTGTAAATCAATGTTGCGTTTCTCTCGTGCGCGCGCTCTCTCTTTCTCTCTTGCAGTCTCACTCTGTTTCTTTTCTGTTGACTTTTCTAAGATGACAGATGCTGATTATATACTCCCTATCTGATGCTGTGGCTGTTTGTGGTTGGCTGAGAGGGATGTGAACTTATTAGTTTGCAGCTGTGTTAATCAAATCAGGTTGGGTTTCCATTACGCGTGCCAAAC